TCATATTATAGAGTTCTCCCTCAGCTTTCTACATAACAAGTAGTTTTACTCATTAATTTGGAAAATTCTTATCAACTTGACGTGGACTTATGTTTGTTGCAACCCTCAAAGAGGACCAAATAATAGCGATCATACTTTTGGATGAAGACCCTATAAATCAATCCTTTTATATAAAGCTAAGACTATACAAAAGAAAATTATTCATCTTTTACAATGAATTATAATGTATAAGATAACTTGCTAAAATTGTGCATCTCACTAGGGACATGATGTTCTTGGTTTTCTCTTCAAAATGCTTAAAATGAGGATAAACATCAACCACAAAATATTTTCTTGCACACAATAATGCTTTTTCATCCTCTTTAAATTATTGTTAGAGAAACCATTGTGTACTTCTAATCCTCACAAAGTAATTATTATAATAACTTTTCCACTTTAAGTTATTTGCTTCTTATATCTTAATTATTTTGGAGAGCCACTGGAAATAGCTCACCACACCTTTCAATCATCAAGAAAAAACAAGAATTAATGCATATTATCAAGAAATATAAATCTCAAGGTTCTGATGGTTTCAATTCAAAAAATTTCATTTGGGTTGCTAATGAACCTTGATGTACCACATTTCTTTGAATCTTGAAAACTCCATAATTTGGTTAGGCATTGTGCTTTCATTATTATTCTAAAATAGCTAAAAGTCAAAGCTCTTTCTAACTAAGAGAATATTGCCTTTATACCACAATTTACAAATTTATTACTAATTTTTTGCTAATAGGATAAAAAATTACTTTCAATAATCATTTACTTTGCTTAGATGTCTTCATTCAAAATAGCGACACCACTAATAACATTTTACTTAACTTTAACCTCATCATGGTCTTCAATTAGCACAGATCTCTTAAGCTCTTCTATGCTAAAATATTTCATCATATAGCTTTTGAAAGCATCAACACATAAGCCTTCATATATAAAAATATTTAGGATAGACTTTGTGTGGTTGTTTGTATCAATCATGTTTAATTTTTTATTATTACTAATGGATATATTTTGGGGTATTTTGAATCAAATATGCATTAGGCTAGGTCCTCCACTCTTTCTTTTCTCTTTACTATTACAATGGATTATTTTAAATTGTTAGATCCTCTATAGTGAATTGTCTTACCAACTGGTTGAGATTAGTTCCTCTTATGAAGTGCATTCTTAGAAGAATTATTATTCTCATATCAAGATTCATACTTCATGGTGGTTTGTGAAAAAGTTGCATATCATCTATTAGCAAAACATTCCTTTGCTTATGGACAAAGGTGATATAAACTTTCTTCTATCTTTAGTCATAATCCAAATTATAGAATGAAAAATATTTGGAGGCTTTCTCTACCATTAATCTATTTAAGTTTTATTTGGGATGGCTTTCTCACTGCTTCTTAAAGAAGCTTTCAAGTACAAAAATTTAATTTTTGTAATAGAAAACTATTTTAAGAAGTAGTAAGAAAGCCTTCCCAAACAAAACCTTAGTCTTCAATGCAAAACTACATATGGTAATATTTGGAACTCTATTATTAGGAAGGTATCACCTGTAGGAGGAATTAAGATATGTGACCTCTCAATTATATTGTTGGTTCTATTTTTATGTTGATGATAACAGCTATGCTCCCTTTTTTTATAATCTTTGGTTGAATGATATGTCTCCAAGAGAATTTTTTGGATTTAATATCCATTGTTTGTTTAACCAATCTAATGATTAAAAGTTGAATGCCATCTTAAGATATGCTATGAAGGTGTTTCCAAAATTATGCACTCATAGCTCCTTAGCTTTCATTGGTCTTCTAAATCAAATTCCTATCTCTAATGAAAAAGGTAAAATTATATGGAATGAAAATGTTTTTTTTTATTTCTTAAGAGTTATTTTGTTGACAAACTTGAGATTAGTTGGTTAATTTTTTTTTGTTCATTAGCTAATTTATTAAAATTTCACTTTATACATAGGCTCACATTTGAAATGTAAAGAATCTTATATGTCAAGATAATTAATCAAATAAATGTAGGAAAACTTGCGATAGAAACTTATTGGCATCTATTTGTTGGCTCTCTTAGGTTGTGTGGTTGGTTGGAAAAGTATCATCTGAGGATAATTTTTTTTTTCTTTTGAAACTCTTTGGGTTTACTCTAAATAGGTACAATGTATTGATTTGTCATCTCATTATTATTGCTCCTATTTATAGCCTCTAGCATAAAAGAAATGAAAAGTTGCATAAAAAAGGGGAGTTCCTCCCATTTTGCCTTTTTCTTTAAAATATTTTTTTGGTAGATCATAAAATTAGTTAATGGAAGAGAAAGGATGGTTGACCTCTGGTATGCGGCATATTATGGGTTGCTAGAGAATCTAAGGATGATTTTATTTAAGCTTGGCAATTATGTCATGGCCTCTCTTTTTATGTTAATGTTCTCTTCTTTCTTATTGGATTGTTTTCAACTACCTTCACTTATTATAGATTTTATAGATTATTATATTTGAGATATTTTTGTGATGCAATAATTTACTCTTGCTAGTCTTATTCTATCCCTTGTAGTATTCAACCCCACTTTTTTTTTTTAGTTTTTTTTATAAGAATCATGCTTTATCTCTACTTCTTTGTAAAATTGGTCTTCTTTTCCTGGTTGCATTGATTTTATATGTAATTTATTTTTAGGGATGGATTTATCATAGATTGATGTCTTTTTTGGTGGCTTTAGACAATGATGTAAACCACCCTGGTTATGTTACCCCAACTATGTTACTACATACATTTTTCAGCTTACCTCTATAAAGTTGTTTCCTTTTAATAGGGAGATTTTTCAAATTTTAACAATTATGATATTACAATGAAAATTTGAACTTGCAATTATATTTCTTGTTTTGAGCATATGAAAAATATTCTCTTTGTAATATATGTCAAGTAACTATTTAAATATTAGTAAGAATGTTTTCATGGCATATCCTTAAATATGATTTCAATTTTTTTTCTCTTAGCCTTACTCCTATTGGGCCATAATTTCTCTATCCTACATAGACAATCATTTGCAGAAGTCATTTTAAATAAAAAAATAACAAAAATTGTGAGCAAAATAAGTTGATGGGTCATTACAGGTTGACCCAAACCCGTGGATTCCCGACCCATTTCTATAGTCGAGTCGGCTTCAAGCCGAGTTATCTGAGAACAAATCAAGTTAGGGTTGAACTCGAATCCAACCAGATGACCTGTTTTGACACTCAAATTTATGATAAAAAAAATGCGCTCAAATTTAAAAAAAAATTCTGTAAGATGATTGTGAGACCTATAATGCTTTATGATATAGAATATCGGTCATTAAAAGAAATAAAAATTAAAAGTTGCATAGATGAGGATGCTCACATGAATGAGTAGTTGGAGTAGCTCTAGCGACAGATAATATTAAAGTCTCCTTACCTAATTTGGTCACAAAGATATTAGCCTTCTAATGACTCAATTAGGAGATTAAAAACATTAGATTTGACCTATAATAATAATAAAAAAAAAAGATAGAGACAACCGTAAAAAGATCCGGTTAAAAAACATTAGAAATGACATTTTTTATTATATTTAAATAAAATTTGACACTTAACCCTCAATATAATTGAGACAAATGATTCATATAGCCGGCTCAACATAGTGCGATTAAGACTTGATATTGTTGTATAATTTAACGACCGATGGTTCCATACATGTGGTTGGTAAAAACTTGCTCGCTTCATTACCCTTCTTGAGTTCTATTTGGATGATTATTATTGTTGGGACCATTTAGGTAGTTCATTAAAGAAATGAGTCAAATCTTGCCATTCTTAAAGGATATTTATTATGAGAAAAACAACTATATTTATTATAAAAATCAACAAACTTTTTTTCAAACGATCAAAATCAACGTTCAAAAAGTTTTTATTGCACTTAATGGTCACCGACTTCTTATCTATATGGGATATGAACAATATCATTCACAAATATAATATGAATAATTTAACTGTTAAGTACCTCAAGAGAGCAAAATAGAGTAGATGGGTAAAGACTTGGAAGAGCATCATAATTGTCCAAAACTCCCACCCAGGAAGAACGGGAAATTTACATGCATACCATTTTATACCATTCTATTTATATATCTAATACCTAAAACTTTAATATTACATACATACCACCCTATATCATTTTAATATCAAATATACCACTCTTATATTTTATTCATAGTATGTATGTAATATTAAAGTTTCAAGTGTTAAATATGTAAATAGAAAAGTATAGGATGGTATGTATGTAAATCTCCCGAAAAGAAATGGTAGACTACTCAAGCAAAACAAGACAACAAAAAAGCCATTGAGCTAACTAATTTAGCTGCCAAAAAATATTCAGAAAGGAGGTTTCAGGATCATAGAGAAAAATAGTTTGAATGCACAAAATGTTAGCCATTATCTCACAACAAAAGCAAAGAACCAAAGAGCTCAGTCCACAGAAAGAACAAATTCCAAAACTTCCCCCAAAAAAGGTTGATAAATCAGTTCCGAAGGAATCAACAGGTAAAAAAAGTCTAAAAAATTCGTTTATTCACCAAAACAAGAAAGAAAAAGGTCAAAAGAGGAGAGAAATACTGAATGAAGGTTTTCAATATCAGGAGTAATATTATCCATCAATTCCCATCTATTGATCTTGGGAATAATACAAGCATTGAGATTTTATTTGGGACGGCTTTGTTGTTGTTTTTTAAAACAGCTTTTTAATATAAAAAAATAATTTTTTACTTGAAAGTTACTTTAAGAAGCAACAAAGAAGCCGTCCCAAATGAAGCCGGACTCTGCAAAGAAGGTTAGCTGGAGAAGTATCAATAGAAACATGAATTCTATCATTAATTTTCATCTAGAAACTGTAAACAAGGATACAAACAGTAGGTAACAAAAATGCTCTAGACTAACAAATGCAGGAGAGAACTGTGCAGGACTTGCAATAATGAGCCATAGAGACTGAATCCTCGGTAAAAAAAGTCTACTTCTTTATGACTTAGTTTTTTCTTTCATATATATTAAGCAAGCTCAGTCCTTTTCTTGGAGCCGTTGGATTAGAAAAATACTGGCTTATAAATGAATTCTATTATAATATTTTAATGTAAAGTCAGTGCTTAAAACGGCAAACCACGAAATAGTCAGAAATGGAGACAGTAGCTACAAACAGCTATGCCGATCTCGCCAGCCACCAGCTATGTCCTGTTTCTATTTGGTTCATGGAGCTGAGGATGTTAGTGAAATAAAGAGAGGCCTCGTCTTAACAATGATTAGTAGAGATGTTTGGGAAAAGTAGGATTAAGGCTGGACGGCTTTCTTTCTGCTTCTTAAAGCAGTTTTTTAGTAAAAAAAAAATTGTAATAAAAAGCTGCTTTAAGAAGCAGAAAGAAAACCGTCCCAAACAAAACCTAAGTGCCGTGTAGCCAAGACCTGAGAAATGAATGAATGATCAAGAACATTTTTTATCTGCTACTTGTCTAATTTCCTGTTTCAACCATTTTATCTCCCAGTTGGGCTAATTTATGGATCCACTCAAAGCTGTCGTTTATCCTTAACATTTAGTTCATGCCATTGCTGTGGCGGATAGAACCCACTGCACAGTTCACCCCTGCAAACCATTGAGGAACAACTTGGCGAAATCAAAGAAATGTTGTAGAATATAAATCTTCAACTCAGCGAAATCAAAGAAATGTTGCAGAGTATAAACTTCGCCTCACCCTCAAAGTAAAACAATATATCCTAACAATGTTGAAGCATTGAAAACTTTGAAATATTAGAAGAACAAATGATCTTCAAAGTTGGCATGCTTATAATCAAATCAAGCTTCTCAACAAGATGAATCCAATGAGCCCAAAATTGTTTAATTCCAACAACATCAAGACACTTAAATGCCAAATGAATATTCTATGATCAAGAGAATCAATATGTATCATCTGATGTATTGTCCAAAAATTTCTCATATTATGACGGCATGCCTAACGACTCTAAAAATAATCCAATCTGAGTCCACATCAGCCTAGATCAAGAGATTGAAGCATAGTTGAAAATTTTGGAATATAAATTGAAAGACCAATGATCTTCGAGTTTGATGCGTTTATAGTCAAATCAAGCAACCTGACAGGACGAATCCAATGAGCTCAAGATTGTTTAATTTGGCAACATTAAAGCACTTAAATGCTGAACAAATGTTCTATGATCAAGAGAACTAATATAGATGGTCCGATGGAGAGTTCCAAAATTTTTTCATATTTACGAGGCATGCCACTCTTAAAAATCTATAAAAAATCAAAACACTGTTGGAAGTTATTTTGGGGCAAGAGAGATATTTTAGGACTGTTTTGGAGTGAAAAGTAGAGATTTTATAGGGATGTTATGTTGTATTAGGGTTATGTTTTGTTGAATTGTTTTCTTTTGTTGAACTGTTTTCTGCTGTAATTTTCTGTGAGAGCTTCTTGCGGCGTCTAGGTTGATTGGGAAAGACCATCTAATTGTAGATCAATTGTATCTTTATTTCTTGTTGAGTTGTTATTAAAAATCAGTCATTATTCCCCCTAAATCTGCTGTAATTTGTTGGTTCTCTGTGAAATTCCTGCAATTTGATTGCTGATTTCTATTCCCAGACGTAACACATTCCCAAATAAAATATGAATACATATTTTAAACTCATTAATGATAATACACCCAACCACTAGTCCTCTCGTTTACACGCTTAATTCTAGTAGCAACTTCTGGGCCAATTGAATGACAATGTTATTCCATTTTTATCAACGGAAATGAAAGCCGATTTTTTTTTTTAACTCAATAATAATAAAAAATCAAGCCCAAATATCATTTTATTTTATTTTATTTTACAAGAGCGACTGGTTGCTTAATAAATTATGAAAAAGAAACAAAAAAAAGTTTATACACAAGAAATAGGATAACAGAGCTATCAACGTAAATATAATTTAACTACGAGAGAGAACTAACAAAAGCAAAATATAATGGATAGGCAAAGACTTGGAAGTGAGTACCCAACCAACAGCGTAGCTTGATAAAAGCTAGATAAGGAGGGGAACATTCAAGTACGTTGAGCATCATTATTGTCCAAAACTCTCACCGCCCAACAGCTACTAAAATAGAAATTGTAACCACATCAAGTCAAAAAGAAAAAGAAAAAAAAAAACACCAAGCCAACTAATCCATATGTCAAAAAATATTCAGAAGGGAGATCTCGTAATCATGGAGAAAATTATTTGAAGGTAGAAAACTGTGAACCAAAAAGCTGTCAAGAGAAAGGAAATTCTAAAACTTCCCCAAAATTAGCTGATAACTCGATCCCAAAGGAATCAACATAATTAAAAAACAAATTCGCAAACGAGTGAAAAAGCTCAAAAGAGAATGAATCATTTGCGGGAAATGCTCCTCAATATCAAGAGTAATATTATCCATCAATTTCCATCTATTGATCTTGGGAGTAATATAAAAATTGATTATGTTAAGAAGGTTAGCCGTAGAAGTAGCAATGGAAGTTTGAATTATATTATTAAATTTCATCTGAAAACAGTAAAGAAGGATACAAACAGTAAGTAACAAAAACCAACAAAAGCTGGATAGAACTGTGCAACAGGACTTCAGTACGGAGGCATAGAGGAGACTGAATTCTCGGTAAAATAGTTTGCTTTGCTATGACTTGAGTTTTTTTCCCATATATATTAAGCCATCCCTGCCCTTTCCTTGGCGCCGGTGGATTATAAAAATACTAGCCTATAAACGAATTCTATTATAATATTTTAAGGCCAAAGCTTGATACGGCCAACCACGAAATAGTCAGAGATCGAAACAGTAGCTGCAAACAGCCACTTCGATCTTGCCAGCACCAGCTAAGCTAGAGGGCTTTATTTTGGGATAGATAGTAGCACGTGGGTGGTCATGGGTATAAGATAGTAGTATGTTTGCTCAAGATTGTTAGGGGAAGATGGCAGTAGAGAAATATCCTGCTTCTATTGGTTCATGGGGCCGAAATGGTTTTAGCGGAATAAGGAGCAGCTCGCCTTAACAATGATAAGTAGAGATGGCTGGGAAAAGTGGTATAAGTGGCGTATAGCCAGGGCCTGAAAAATGAAGGAATGATCAAAAACCTTTTTCTATGCTACATCTCTAATAACACGTTTCATCCATTTTATCATAACCCTCTCTATCTCATAGTAGTGCTCCATCTCAAATAATATTTTTATTGCATGCAAGCCAAGCACTCCAAATGCTCTTTTAACCAACATATATTGAAATATTTGGGTTATATGGTTTTTTTCTAGATGGAGTGCAACCCACAACGTACAAAATTGACACTATTCTCCGATGGCTCCAATCTAAAACCGTCAATGCCATTGTGAGGCTATTTTTCTTTAGTCGACTAATACCAAAAAATTAATAGAATTTTGCAACTATGGCTAGCCCACTGATGTGGGGAGGAATCATGAAGAAGGCAGCCCCTAAGAGCAAGAACACCAAATAACAATAGAAACTATTATCATGCAAAAATACCATTCATATATTATTCTTCCTTACAATAACTTGTTTATATAAAGCAATTGAACCTTCTAGAAGGTTCTAGAAAGCATGAACTAAAGCTAAATAAGATATACTATTCCTAAGGCCATCCTAATCCTAAGATGCACCGTATCATTCTCCCCGTGTGATGAGGACATCAGATTTCGCCACGTGTACCATCGTCGAAGACGCAAATCGACGGTTACGATCCAGAGCCTTTATTTCTGATTTATTTTGTATCTTATTTATTCTCGCATTTTATTTTCCTAGTTTCCCCCTGTGGGTATTGAGTCTCTTGTGTAGCCCTGAGGGCATTTGTGTCTTTCTAACTTTGTCTTATCTTAGCCTATTTAAAGGAGGCCTCATGCATTGTAATGGGATGATGAATATTGAAATGAAATATTATTTTTCTTTGATTGATCTCTAAGTGAGTTCATGAGAGAAGAGACCCTAGGTGGGTGAAAGCAATACCCGTCAATTTTTGGAGGAGTCCAAGGTTCGCGGTTTACGATCTCTTTGTGAGTTCGTTAGTTTACTTTTATCTTATTTGTATTTTTCTTTCATCTCCCTTCTCACCCACTCCATCCGCCATCAGTTTACTTTTATCTTATTTGTATTTTTCTTTCATCTCCTTTCTCCCCCACTCCATCCGCCATCCCTTCCTACCTCCCCACCATAGGTGGATCAACCTCCCCCACCCAATTCATCTTCTAGCTCCACCACCTAAATCCCACCCACCAACCTAGCCTCAACCCGCCACCCCCTTCCCCCTTTGCCGCCAGCCCTCTCATAATTTCCCCCTCATTATGATGATTTCAATCACCATAATGACTTCCTAATTTAGCTCAAGCATGAGAGGGAAATTTTGAATTCATTTGAAATTCAAATTCGAATTTTAAATTCTTTCCATATAGGAAATTCCTAATTAGGAAAGTATCAATCATGAATTCAATTTCAAAATAAATCAAAGTGGATTTATCATTCCCTTTCCTAATCTTCATCGCCTATTTGGAAACTCCCATTTTTCCCTCCCCAATCCTCTCCACCCCTCATGATGTCGTCGGCCCCATAATGAGTTGAGTGAGAGGATTTCATCAAAGTGACTAATCTTATTGTTAGCATTGAGATTTATTGTTGAAACCACTCATGTATGCAACGTTAAATTAAAATTGATTATTTTACGATCTTAACTCCTATGCATCTGGTTTAGCCTAAAGCTTGTCTTACCGCTCTTTATGTTTTCTTTTGTCGTTTAAAACCAATATAAATATATGATTATTGTGGATTCTAAAATTAAGCGTGTAAATTCATTAAGTAACTCGTATTCGCATGTACGTTCTACATCATATTTGGTATCAGAGCATGGTAAGCATGTATTGTATGTGCTAGAAGTTCCTAGGAGTCTAGATTAACCTTTTCTTAAGCTTGTTTGCATGCATAACATTGCATAGTAATTTTTATTCACTGTTTTGCTTGCTGCCCTCTAATTTCCCGCACCATTTACATCACTTTAATTAAGTCTATGTCATTGTTTAAGTGTTTTCCTTGTCACAATAACATCCCTAGTTGTCTAGACTACTTAAACAATCATTATGGCTTGCTGTCCAAATATTTTCTGCACCCTTTAGTGAGTCTAAGTGAGCCTAACTTAGCGTCTAAATGATGTCCCTTTCACCCACTCTTTATTAAGCATCACTTAGCACTTTCCAATGGACCCGATAGGACTTCAAAAAAAGTTAGATGACATCGTTAACCTAGTGGGCTCTATGACTAAAATTATGATGGAGAAACACGTTGACTCTCCCCACTCTAAGTACGTGCCCCATTCGTTCAATCATGCTAGTCAGAAGATGCCCCACAATGCTTATCAACCTAGACTTGAGCCTAAGCCTCAACGACCGCACTTAGAGTCACATTATAGTCTACCCACCTTTGATGGTTCCTCGGACCCACTACTTTAGGGAATGGGTTAGACAATTAGAGGACTATTTTGAATCACGTCATATCCCTGAGTCCCACCAGGTTAGCATCGCTAAGTCTCACCTAAAAGGTCAGGCTCTTCAATTTTGGATGAGGTTG